GGTGGAAGAGAAGTGGTTGTAGTATTCTAATTTTGACATGTAACCAATAAAGACAATCAACTATATTTCTTCTTTCTCCTCATCTGACTCTTAAGCCTTAACCTCACAAATGGTTGGATCTTGTTCAGGCGGTTCAGAAATTAAAGTCTCTCGAAATAAATTAGAAGTTCCTTAATTATGCTGTGCACAATAAACTCCTTACTAGAACACACACACACACACACACACACACACACACACACACAAACAGAACTTATGTGAAAATGTCATGTCATACTTTTTTTTAAGAAAATAAAATAAAAATGCACTTATACTACGAAACTTCGATACTTTTTGTTTATATTTATTAAAACTCTGGCATTTCAATTTGAAAATGTACATGTCCGTTGAAAGAAAATACGATTGTTTAATCGATTGAGTTACCACTACAATATGGAGTACAAATGTTCAACTTTTCTTTATTTATCCTACACAAAATAACAAACAACACAATCGTACATGAGACGACTTAATCGTGTCGATGTCATAAGACGACTTAATCATGTCGATTTCATACATGTTATGTTTTTTCTTTTTTTTTTTTTTTTAAGAAAACGTGTTATGCCTTTATTCATATTACTTAATTGAAGCACATTCATTTGGTGGTAAAATGCAACCAACAGTGCTTTCAGTTTTTGGTACTTTGGTGACTTTTTAGGGTTAAATGATGGGTGTATCATATCCTCAGGTGGGCCCACTAAAGGCTTGGCATCATCTGTAGTGAATGTGTGTGTGTGTGTGTGTGTACCACTCTGCAAAGGGATCCATGCTAACTTTATTTGTACACACACTGACACGCACTTGTAAGTGTTAATTTTTAATTTTTGATATCACAGTATCAATACAAGAGAATCTTTCTTTCATCACTTTGAAACACACACTACTCTTATCAAATGTTTCGCGCGTGTAACAATTTTATCAAATACCTATATGTCATTAATGACAAGTAGATATGCTCTCATACTCATGGTGGACACATGTTAATATGCTCACCGTTTATGTGGCATGCATACATTGGTGATGTTAATATGTTCAAAAAAATACATCACCAATATGTGCATGTCACATTCGCGGTGGGCATATTAACATGTGCTCACCGTGGGTAGGGGAGCTTACTGTAATAACAAGACCCTACAGTTTCAAGCAATGTTTTAAATACCGTACCGTACCGACCGGTAATATCGGTAATACCGGATACCGGCCATTGGTACAGTACCATTACACTCAAAATACCGCATTTACGGTTATACTGATTTGTACCGGGATCATACCGTAAAAACCGCAAAATACCGGTCTAAAATACCGGCCAATAAAAAAAATAAAAAAAAAATATATATTTTTTTTTAATTTAAAATAATAAAATTTAAATTGGTAGCTAAAATATTTTATTTTCATCTTATTT